GCCGAGTCGCTGGATCTCTTGAACCAGCAAATCAATTTCATGGGAGACGTTCATTGTTGCTGCAGGCGAAACAAAATGTAAATAGTTGCATTATCTTTAAATCTGACGTCACGGTTTTGAGTGCACTAGACATGAAACTAAACAATTAAACCTGTATTGCACAATTCTGACCCAACTTGTCTATTTACTACTGCAGTGCTTTAGATTATTATGGTTGATTTATAACTCTGCTGCCAGGGCGTTTGGCCAGACTACATAAAACTTGGCTGCCTGTCAGCTCCTACATCGATTTTAAAATCTATTTACTTGTTTTTAAAAGCCCCTGATGGTCTTCTTGCTCCAGTATTCATGTCTCACATCCTCAGTGCGTAGGGTGCAGTATGGATGCTACATCCTGTGAGTAGTTCCAAAGTGCACGACAACACAGCTGAGGAGGCAGATTTTTTAACTTTTACACCCTGAGTCACGAAGCAGTCTGCTGTAGAGAAAGAGAGCAGCTGAAGTGTTGAAATCTTTAAACATCTTCAGCCCAGCTTTTGATTGAATATGGTAAACAGACAATTTATTTCTATTTACACTTTCCTCATTTGATCTAATCTGTAGATTTATTACATTTGATCTAGCTTACATTTTTAAATCAATGAGTAGAGTTTATAGATTATTGTGCATTAAAGCACATTGAAGTCTATGCATTGTGATGCGTTTTATTTTGTCCAGTGTCTTCTGTTGTACTTACAGGCCATTTTTAAATGTAATTTTAGATCCGTTTTTTTTTTACGTTAAAAGTCTTACCATTACACATTACTTACTTTTTGTCTAATAAACATCCGTGTAGCACTGTAAACCGACATACCTGGTGTCATCTGAACAAAATCTGACTGATTTATTGAGTGATCATCCACCAGTAGAGGAATTTTCTGACTTTGGAAAAACAAGGCTAGATTTAACAGCAAGTGCAGTAATTAAAGTTAAAGAGCTGTATTTCGTCAATAAATATGCGCCAAATTTTCCTTTTTTTTTTTTTTTTACATTTTAGACAAAAGTCTTAACATTTATTCTAATCATGAAATTGGGATTATCAGAAAGGCGTTTTTTCAATTTTATTCCTTTTGTGAAGGGTGTTTTGGGAGCTGGGGGACTTTCATTAAAAGAAAACAAACTCAAAGTCCAGTAAACCCATAAATAAATGCAACTTAATTATATATATATATATCAGACACATATAAAGGCACTCGGTATGAGTACAACATATAAAAGGAGGACTGACTGCAGCAATGCAACAAGCTCCAACACGAGCAGGGCGGACTCATCAATGCGGAAGTAAGGGATTAGCGTTCACGGCTAGCCAAACCTGCTAATAAATACTTCTTGCAGTTGATTTATTTCAGAGATGTGCAGTCATTCTCAAGTGCTGAATAATATTAGCAGCTCGGCGATGTTTTACGCGACTTCAGGTGCAAAAGAAAAGACTCCTCTGAGTGGCAGATGTGAGCTCGCCGGTATGATTAGCTTCTAACATCCGACAAATCCTCCGCTGAGAGGGGAGCGAGGAGTTATTCAGACCGATGAACGGTTGGAATAAATGATGGAAAACGATGTAACACAAGCGAATATAACACCGACACAAGGATATGAATTTTACCTGATTACTTGGGCTTGTTTTTGCTTGTAATGAGGTGAGGGACGACTTTCTGATGAATCGGCACCGGTGGAAAATGATGCTGCGTTCAGAGTGCGCTCGGAGAACTCCACCCTTTAGAAATGGAACAACAAAGTGGTGTAAAACGAACGGAGTGAATGTGTTTAATATTCAAAAATAAGAATATTAAACAGAAGCATGAGATCACTAAGTTATCTTAGTAAGAATATGCATGTAAAGATAATGCAGTGTTAGTGTTTATTTATATAGCACATGTGCGAAGCTCTACAATGTCTCCAGGCAATAAAAACAACAGAACAAAAACTTTACAAACACATAAGATAGAAGTTGTCACACCTGTTTTAAGCCTGTTTTTTTAAGTACACACAGCTGTAATTGACCTGTGGGAGCAATTTAAAGAGCTGTACCCGATGTCCTGAGATGTCTTTACCTTAGGATCAAAGTATTCTACAACAAAACACAAGACAACAACAACAACAAAAATCCCTTCACAATAGAGCCCAACCAATATTTTGTTTTGGGAGCCAACACTAGTACTTAGGTCGTAAACAAATCCAGTAATGGTTTATATTCTAAATGAGGTAATTATTAACTCTAGTTCAAAAGCTAGTTCCCTTGAGGACACTCCTTGTATGCTGTAAAGTCACGAAATGTATGCTATTCCCCACAAACTGCAGTTTACAATGTGTATAATGTTCCCCCCATAAATCAGAAGTACAGAAGCTCTTGTCCAACAAGCCACAAATTTCAGACATTTCCGCGATTAACTAATAATTACCTACTCGTAGTGGAATGCTGTGAAAATGTGCAACTGTTTTCATTTACTGGCTTAATTTGAGTAGATGTGACAAATTCCCTACAACATATGAAGGCAACACGAGCGCTCATCTGACTTCATCGTGACACGCTGCCGATAGTTTGATGGGCTGTGGCCCATATAAGGTATTGAAGAGGCAGGAGACCGCGTGTTGTCCTACGTTTCGGCCTCTCCAAACTATTTCTTGCGTCTCCAAGAAACACACAGGTGCTCAGCGAGCACAAGTCCCATTGCAACACAGAAAGAGCTTGTTAGAATAGTGTGCTGACTCCAAATGCTGTTACTTTTTGTTCTGCACATTGAACTCTATTCTTCTCCACCCCATCCCTATACCTCTTATGCATGCACTGCAAATAACAAAGCAGTGACTCCATCATCATAGTGTTTAGAACAATGGAAAATATTACATATGTGAAGGATTACTAACCGAGCAAAGGCATAAAAACTCAGAGGGCCCCAAAAAGTTGCAGTTATTCAACAAGTTTATTAAAAATATGTATCAAAATGCAGTTTAATTAACATGTTCTTTATTTTATTTTATGTTTAAAGAGCACTATACAGAACTAGTGAGAAGCAGATCTTAAAAAGGGTTTTTTCCCCCCCAAGTAGCTGACTGTTGCAAATGTGTCACCAAGACGTCAAGACGGTTCCAACAAGAACCAGAGTGAAATAAATAGAAAACAATTTATTGTTTTGTTACATAGTTCCAAGAAACGACTTTATGTGTGAAAACATTTCAAATGGCCACACAACTAATCATTGGAGTTAAATGTCAGAATATCAGACACAAAAAAACAACAACAATGGGCGACTTATTTGCGGGGGGATAAAAAATG